GGGGGGGGGAATTGTTCCAGATCCAAGGGGCCACTGCCGAGAAGGCCCGCTTTCTTGTTCTTTCTCTTTGGGCTTCCCTCGATTTAGACCCCTCAGCTGCCCCTCCTGGCGAGAGTGAGTGATACAGGTAGATCTAGGTGGGAGAAGGCATTCCGGCAGATATTGAGGTCCTAAATCGTTTAGGGCATTATATGTCATCATTCATACTTTGATATCAATGCGGAAGTGAAAGGGTAGCCAATGCAAGGCAGCCAGAGTGGGAGAGATATGTTGATGTTTTCTTACCCCACTGAGAAGTCTGGCTGCCGCATTCTGCACCATTTGAAGCTTCCACATCAATCTCAAAGATGGTCCCATGTAGAGCACATTATAGTGGTCTAATCTCGAGATTACAAGCGCATGGACCAGAGTGGTGAGTGCCCCAACATCAAGATAGGGACACAGATGGGCAATCCACCAAAGATGGAAATAGGCGGAGCGGACCACTGACGCCACCTGAGTTTCCATGGTGAGCGCCGGGTCCAAATGGACCCCCAAGCTGCGAATCTCACACTCAAGAGCCGGACCAGAAATCTCTGCCTCTGCATGGATGTTGAAATCTCCCAAGACCAAAAGCCTTGGGGATTCCAACAGTGCCACGGAGACAAAGTCCACCACCTCTGGTAAGGAAATGGCTGGGTCGGGGGGAGCACGGTAACCCAGCAAAATCCTAATACCATCCCTGGCCCTTACCAACACATGGAAGGCCTCCAAACCCGGCTTCACCACCATGGAGCACCTAGTAAGTTCCAGAGTATTTTTATATAAAATGGCTACTCCCCCACCCCTCCAGTCTGCCCTGGTGCTCGACAGCATAACCAGGAGGGTAGGCAAGGGTCAGGGGTGGACCCCCATCCCCACCCATCCAAGTTTCCGTTATGCACGCCAGGTCTGCATTCTCCTCCAGAATGAGATCATAAATAATCTGGAATTTATTAGTTACAGACCTGGAATTCAACAACACCAGTTTTAGAGTGGAGGGCTGGCTGATCTGGCTACCTTGATACTGACAGTTGGTCACAGTCCCAGAACAGTGAACAGCCTTCAAACATCTGTTTGCTGTTCTTCTAACACAAGTAGGGGCTGTGCCAGTGCCATATCTCCCTCTACCCATAATCACTCGGATGTTCAGTGGCCCCTCACTGGGAGGGCAAGCCTTCCACTCCATGTCAAAGAGAAAAGAAACCCAAAGAAAACGCCAAATTAATACAATTAAACAATATAGTGATATCAAAATTTAACATAAGGTAACAAACAGAAATAACAATATACTATTAAACTAAACAATAATCAATAATCAATAATCAAATTAAATAATTTAAAGTACATATATTTCAGAAAAGGGTGACTAAGACAAATAACAATAAAGTAAATAAAATAAAGTAAATACAAATAAAATGAAATAGAAATGAAATAAAAATAAAATAAACAATATAAATAGACAATATAAAGAAATTAAACCCAAAATTTATCCCACACACACACACACTCACAGTCCTGTTCCGTGTGTTCTCTCTGGAGATCTTCTCTTTCCAGATGTTATTAGGACAGTTATGGTAGCCGGTTCAAGGTTGACTCAGCCTTCTATCCTTCCGAGGTCAGTAAAATGAGTACCCAGCTTGCTGGGGGGGGGGGCAATGTGTAGCCTGCATAATTAACTTGTAAACCGCCCAAAGAGTGCTTGAAGCACTATGGGGTGGTATATAAGCAGCACGCTTTTTGCTTTGCTTTTATGAGGACAGTTTTTAAAACTGAAGCATGTTTCAGTAGTGAGCAGGGGAAACAACAGTAGCAAGAGAGTTAGTGATAAAAATGGTGCTACTGTTGCCATTTTCCATACCAGGAGGTCAGTTGAAAGATCCCTGCTAGTCGCGGCAGGAGAAGGGGCGGGGGAGTAGTTCTTGATGATATTGCTCCTGGTGAAATTAACAACGTGGCAGCTAGCAAGGGGGTAGCTAGCAGGACCCCACAACAAATGGGACCCCACAGCAAGCTTCCCAACTCCAAACTCCCAGCCAAAACCTCCAACGCACCACCCAACTTCAAATAATTCCACTGAGCCTCCCATCGTCTTCTCAGGAATGGTGGACCAATTAAGATGATCCGCCCCAGATGCCTCATAGGTCTGATCAGTTTCCTGAGCACACTTGGGGAGCTTCATACTTTGTCAGTGGGACTATCAAAGCCCTGACTGATTGGTCCAATATAGAAGGGGCTGGAGCTGTTGACAGTATTGCTCTTAAGCACCCTCTCCCCACTTGTACAGCTAGCCCAGCTCCTTGGTTCAACAGGGATCTGAGAGCACTGAAACAGCAGGATGGAGGCCAAAGCATCACTGGAGGACAACTAGGTATGAGTCAGGTCATTACCTTGCTGTCATCTATTGGAACAGGCACACTGCGAAAGCAGAGGTAGCTAGGAAAGCCTACGTCTGTGTTGCTATTGTGTCTGCACAGAGCAGGCCAGCTTTTTCAGATTGTGCAAGGACTCCTTCACTAGGATACTGGGAGGGACTACTGCGGGTGGCGTCTTACATGTTTTGCAGACAAGGCTCACCGGCCTTGCCTTGACATTGACTCTGATATTGGGCCATGGCCATGCTGATGTAACTATGGCAGCCATTTGTCCTTTTAGCTGGGATTCTTATCAGCTTGTGGAACTTGAGAACAGGAAAGAGTACTTGGAATGGTGAGGGCTACCCTGGCTCACTCAATCCTTGCTTCTTGGCTAGTCAAATATGCCAAGGTGGGAGTGATGCCATGGCTAAGGGAGGTGATAATTACTTACTTAAAGGAAGGACCTGTTCCTTCGTATCCAAAAGAAGCTTAAAACTTTCTGAAAGAAACTTGCCCTTGACTCAGTTTCAATTAATTGAAAGTCTGTCTCAGATTTACCATTTTTGGTAAATCTGAGACAGACCAAGTGGTTGCACTCTTGGATGATATTGATTATCTGGACCATTTCAATCAAGCTTTCAACAAGAATATGGGACTAAGACTGGTTTGGTTGCCTTGGCAGATGACCTACACCAAAAACTCGATAGTGGGAGCGCAACCTTATTAGATCTCCATTAAGTGGCATTTGATACCATTGATCATGCTATCCTGCTGGTCCAGGTTGGGTTAGCGGGGGGGGGCACTGTATTACAATAGCTCTGGTCCTTCCTGTCATGACAGGCACAGAAATTAGTGCTGTGGGAGCATTGTTTGGTATTGTCAGAGCATAGCATGGCTTCCATCAGAGTTCCATCTTATCCTCTACAGTATATTATTTAATATCTACATGAAGCTGCTGTGAGAGGGTCATTCAAAGCTTTGGACTGAGGTGCCACCAACATGCTGATAACAATGTTTATGCTTCTTCTCCCCCAACACCAAGAAAGTAATCAGGATCCTTGAATGTTGCCTGAGCTTGATAACAGGCTGGGTCAGTGTAAACAAGCTGAACCTAAATCCTGACAAGACAGACATGTTGCTGGTCATTAGAAAGTCAGATTCAGGAATGAGGATTCAACCTGCTCTAGAAGGGGTTGCTCCTCCTTCCCGAAAACTCAGTTTTGTAGTCTGGGAGTGTTCTTTGACTATGCTGGAGTCCAAGTGAGGAGTACCCTTGCACAACTCCACCTAGTGTGCCAGTCACCGCCTTTCCTGAATTGACTTGGCTTAGAAACAGTCATTCATGCTTCAATTAAATTGCTTCTTGACTACTATAATGCATTCTGCATGGGACTACCCTTGAAGAAGGTCCAGAGTCTTTAATTAGTGCACCATACTGCAGTCAGGCTGCCAGCCGGTACACAATACCTTCAGCAAAGGACCCCAATACTGAAAGACCTGGGCTAGTTACCAGGCCCCATTCAAGGTATTGGTTTTAATTTTTAAAGCCCTAAACAGCTTGGGGCCCAGAGTGCTGACTGCCTCTCTTATTATGAATTGATACAGAAGTTAATAACAGTCTCACTTTAAAATAGCAACTATTTCAGAGGCCTGCCTAACAATCATGTGGGAGAGGATCTTCTCTTATGTGGCTCCCAGACTGTGGAATGCACGTCCATCAAAGTTGTGATCTCTTTCTACTCTGAATGGTTTTAAAAGGGAATAAAAAACCATATTTTAGACTGAAAAATTATTTAACCTGCCCTACTGTATTGTTGCTTTTAATGGTTTTAATGTACAGTATTTACTTGATATTAGTGGTTTTAACAGTGGAGGTGGCTTATTTGATTTTATGATTTTTTTTAGTTAAATGTTGTTTAATCTGTTTTATTCTTTTCTCAGGTTTGTAAGCCATATTGAGTGTTATTTTCTAGTGGAAGGACAGGATATAAATATAGTAAATAAAATAAAAATCTCCTTAAAGGTCACATTCTCTTAGTCATTCTCACCAAGTGAAATTAAATTTAAATATACGTGACCAGCTTTGCCTCTTCTTTCCTCTTCTCCCTGTCTCTTTGTTGTCTACTTCATTTCTATTATTTCTGTAAGCTCTGAGGGGCAGAGACAATGTCTTTTAAAATTGGCACCTAAATGACAAAGAGTGTGGTTAGCAACCAACTCTCTGACAGAACTGAGATGTACAGTTAGGGTACCATCACTGAGAATGCCCTGCTGAATGCAGCGCTCCTGTAGCAGATCATGGATAGGTCAGTTTTGGGGAAGGGAGTCCTCTGTGCACCATGGCACTGAGTCATGTGGGTTTTTTGCACTACTGTTAACATATGGGGCTTTGTGACAGCTAGTGCAACGATTTTGAAATGCAGTCTCTGTTGGCAGCTGGGTGACAATATTCTGCACCAACTGCATCCTACAGATCATCTTCTACACAGTGTATTCTACACAGTAGGGCTGTGTAGAATGCACTGCAACAATCCACCAGAAACTTGTCTTGTCATTTTATTAACTTCTAGTTTGAGTGCTTTCTTACTCTGAGTTTACATACCAGGATGAGGAAGTTATCAGATAAGGGGGCAAAATTTAGGATTGTTGTAAGGATTGCATCACTATATTTCATCCTTGTTGTACAGCCTGTTGTTTCTAACCAGCAACCATTTAAATTGGGGTGGAAGATCCACTGATGAGAGCAAATGCAGGAAGACCGCACAGTGTGTGGGAAAGGATGGCATCATTTTTCAGGAGGGTGTCACAAACTTCTTGTTGCTTTGCCACTCAGATCTCTGGAAAGAACTATGTTAATAAATAATAATCATAATTAATAACAAATATTATACTAATTAATTATCATAATTGTTCTGGCCTTCTAGCTGCTGTCTCTAGTAGGGGTACGAAAAGCAATTGAATACATCTTCCCCCGGCATCACCTGGCTTGGTTGGATGATGTCATGCCAGAAAAGGAGAGAAAAGAGGAAGAGGAAAAGCTGAAGAAGAAGCAAGATCATGATGACAGTGACAGCGAGGATGTGAGTATTACTAATTTTTAGGGAACAGAACAAACGGGAGGAGGCTGCATGGAGTGTAAATTGCATATACCTCACCTCAATATCCCCTTCACGGATTGCTGCCTTCTCGTGACGAAGGGGCATGATTAATTCAGAGACTATGGGCTATGCCGTGCAGGGACACACAAGATGGACAGGTCATAGTGGAGAGTTCTGACCAAACACGATCCACCTGAAGCAGGAACTGGCAAGCCACGCCAGTATCTTTGCCAAGAAAACTCCATGGACAGAAACAAAAAGCTAAAAGGTATGATGCTGGAAAATGAGCCCCTCAGCTCAGAAGGTGCTACTGAGGAAGAGTGGATGACAAATACAAGTAGCTCCAGAGCTAATGAAGTGGTTGGGCCAACGCCAAAAGGACACTCATCCCCTGGACTGCAAGGAAAACAAACCAATCCATTTTGAAGGAAATCATCCCTGAGCGCTCACTGGAAGGACAGATCCTGAAGCTTAGGCTCCAATAATTTGGCCATCTCATGAGAAGAGAAGACTCAGTGGAAAAGCCCCTGATGTTGGGAAAGTGTGAAGGCAAGAGGAAAAGGGGACGACAGAGGATGAGATGGTTGGACAGTGTCACCAAAGCTAACAACGTGAATTTGACCAAACTCCAGGAGGCAGTGGAAGACTGTTGGGCCGGGCGTTCCCTGTTCCATGGGGTCATGAAGAGTTGGACGCAACTTGGGCCGGGTGTCCTCTGTTCCATGGGGTCATGAAGAGTTGGATGCAACTTAACAACTAAAGAACACGAACACTTCAATATGTAATTCTGAGACAGCAAAACAGAAGTTCAACTTGCCTACGTGTAGGGAAAAGCTGGCGTAGCTGCCTTGTGACTTATTCAGGGCACTTCATAACATCCGAAGAACACCAACACTTCAATATGTAATTCTGAGGCAGCAAAACAGAAGTTCAACTTGCCTATGTGTAGGGAAGAGCTGGTGTAGCTGCCGGGTGACTTATTCAGGGCACTTCATAACATCCAGTTTCCTTCTGTGAGGTACTTCAGTATCAAGACCTACATCCATTTGTCTTTAATGAGAGGGATGAAGGAGTATAGCAATCTTTTTTCCTGGCAGATCTATGGACAAACTACCTTCCCACTTGTATTTTGGCTTCTGTCGCCAGTTCAATTTCACCTGCCCTAAAGGAGCTTTCATCAATTCTAGTATCCAAAGAAACATGTGTTTAGCAAAGGAAGGAAAAGCTGTCCCTCCACAAAACATGGGCAAAAAATTATTGGGAAGATTAAGGTGGCAGGACTCAGTTGTATAAGCATAGCGTGCGTACAGACACAGACACAGATTTGTAATAGTAGACAGAGGCCCAGTGGTAGAAGTGCGATAGGTCTCTCTCTGCATCCACTCAGATCTAACTTTATGGGGTTGGTCCACCTTGCTTCAGGAGAGAATATCATTTCAAGTCAATCACTCTGGCTTCAATCAGCAGTTTACTAAGAACCAAACTAGACAATACTTCTAGAATTACTAGACCTCCCTTTAGAGAGAAAAGATGGTACTTTTATCCTAAAAGGAGTTCTCCTCAGGATGTTGCAAATTAGTTTGCTTTTGTTTCATGACTTGCTACTGGGAAGTGAACATGGGCTTCATTTGGAGCTTTGATGCTCGGGTATGGAGTTTTGATGGAAATGCATGCCTATGGCGAGACTGTTGTCAGTTGTCATAGCAAGAGACAGGCCTCTCCCTTAATGCATAATTTGACATGCAAGGCCAAAACTGCTTTGAGCATGCAGAATAACAGACACTTTCTTTAGGCAATGCTAGCTATTTAAGGTTCAACCTCCCCCCCCCAGCCTCTGCCTTTTGGTAACCCCATCTTTTTGCTCCTCAAGTGCTGTTATTTGCTGCTTTCCTGGCCTTCAAGTTATGTAATTTCATACCATGGAGCTCTTGTTTCTGGAAAGAGTGTGGTTTTTACATCACATTTCTACAGAGAAGAGTTAGGAGCTCTTTCCAGGATCCTAGATAAGGGAATTCCAGCTGGTGAAAAATAGGAGTCAGACGATCTGGAGGATCACAGTCAAGCCCTTTCCCTCTCTGAGAATTTCACCTATGGTGTCATTCTTCCATTGTGTCTCCTATCTCTTTGGACCTTTGTGTAATGGCTTTCTCAGGGCAGGGAAAAGGAAACAAAAAGCACTATTTAGGTGGTGCTGTCTTGTATGTAGTTTTATTAACTCCTTCTTTGGCTTGTGCTTCTTTTTTAGTCTGAACTTATGTACCAAGAAAAAGGACCAGAAATCAACATCTCTGTGAACTAGAAGGACTGATACTTGCCAGTGGACCAGGCCAGAGATGAATGTGTGTAATGTGTAAGGATGGCTTTAAAAAAATAATAATATTTATTTATTTATTTATTTATTTGATTTATATCCCATCTGGTCTGGTCGACCACTCTGGGCGGCTTCCAATAAAGTGTATACGATAAAACATAAGAATTTTACAAACAGTCCATAACACATACAATAATAAAACAAATAATAAATGAAAGAAAAAATAAAGAAAGAATTAAATACTGACAGGAGGGAAGGCCTGAACATACAACCATGTTTTTAGTTGACTCTTAAAAGTGCCCAGCGTAGGGGCCACATGAATAACCAGAGGATGGTTATTGCAGAGGCGAGGAGCCACCGCCTCGAAGGGCCGGTTTCGTGTCCTTTCCTTCCAGGCCTCCCTCCGCGTTAGGCTCCTCAGCCTCACCTCCTGGCTCGTGCGGGTGATTCAAGTAGATCTAGGTGGGAGCAGGCGTTCTGTCAAGTATCGAGGTCCTAAACCGTTTAGGGCCTTATATGTAAGCATTAACACTTTGAAGTCAATGCGGAAATGGATGGGCAGCCAGTGCAGCATGGCCAGAGTAGGAGAGATATGTTGGTATTTTCTCACTCCAGTAAGGAGTCTGGCCACCGCATTCTGCACCACCTGAAGTTTCCGCATCAGCTTCAAAGGGAGAGCTGCGAGAAATTTCCTAGAGAAAATTAAATTTGCTGCAGCATAAACTATGAGGAGAATGTCAGGGGTCATTTATGCTAAGCTTCTGTATGCAAGTGTACAGTATCTTGTGTCATTAGACTGTTCTCTTCTTAAAGCACACCCACCCACACACCAATAAGTCCAGATAGTTCATTTGATAGGGTAGTAGCCATCACAAGGTGTGTCCTAGTGATGGGACCACAATATTTACAATGGAATTTATTCAAAAGAAGATGTGTCCAATGCTGCCGATGAAGGTGTATCATATAAAGAAATAAAGAGACAAGTCTTAAAATTAAATTTAATTATTCTCTGCCATGGTCCTGAAAAGAATCCAAGGTGAGGCTCTATGGACTGGAGTGGGCTTGTTTCTCAGTACCTCCCATTTCATTCTTGATATCAAGTAAAAGCATTGGAGCTGAAAAATCTCCTTGAGAAGGGAGCAAATCTTTCTTCCCCAGAAAATGAGTTTTCTATTGCTGAGAGCAACCTCAGCCTACACCTCTGAGGTGGCCCTTAATATGGAAATTTCTTTCCTATACAGTTAAGTGCTGCCATCCTCCTAACTAGTGTTGCATCTGAGGATACAACTGTAATGACTGCCTACTCTTCCCCATAAGGCAAAAGCAGGCAACATTGCCCTTCTTGTATGGAGAGCTTCCTGTAGGTCTATTCCTGTGGTTGTCACATTGTCATGAGATTTAGATGCAGTCAAGCTTCAGGTGGTGGATCAGTGAGGTTGACCTTAGGCAGAGGAGACAAGGTGCTTTCAAGTTAGGCTTTCATTGTGAAAGGGATCTGTCTCCCTAATGAAATTTTATGGGGTCCAGATGATAATTGTAGTCTGCTTGTAACCTTGTCTTTTTCTGTCCTTGCTACACAGGAAGGAAAGATGGAATGGCTTCACAATGCCTTTTGATTGGTAATACTGGGAGTCCTCTGTCTGGAAGCCTGCCCTCTGTTATACTCTCCACTGGCAGCTGTTGTTGCTGTGGTGGTAATGGGGTGGAGGCACTGCTATCTTTCTCATTGCAGTTGCAGCAGAGCTCAGATCAAGAGTGGAGGAGGAGAGAGCCTTCACTTTGCCATCCAGCTTTGCAGCTCTTCATCTGACCTCTCCAGTCAGCACAGTGAAAGGACACAAGACCACTGCTTGCTTGCACTGTAGCAGAATTAGATGAACTGACTATATTGGTGGTAATGGGGTGGAGGCGCTGCTATCTTTCTCATTGCAGTTGCAGCAGAGCTCAGTTCAAGAGTGGAGGAGGAGAGAGCCTTCACTTTGCCATCCAGCTTTGCAGCTCTTCATCTGACCTCTCCAGTCAGCACAGTGAAAGGACACAAGACCACTGCTTGCTTGCACTGTAGCAGAATTAGATGAACTGACTATATTCCCCCAAGAGCCATTTGACACTTATACTGGTGGTGTTTCTATGCCATCAGTGCTCTTTTGTGTTGCTGTCAACCAATTTGCCTTTAAATCTACTACTGGTGGTGTTCTATACCATCAATGCTCTTTAGTGTTGCTGTCAACCAATTTGCCTTTAAATGGCAAAGTGACTTCTCTAATTCTAATTATGGATGCAGATTTTTCCAGAGTTTGCAACTATGTACTGTCAAGCTACAATAATGTGATCATTATTCCATTTCTTGGGAGTAAGTCCCACCTATTTTAGTGGTATTTACCACTATACTGTAGAAATGTTTTCAGGAATGCATCCTTTGATTCTTCCCATTTTCTATGATAATCCAGAAAATGGCTATTTTGTTTAACAAGCAATTTTGTATCTTCAGGACTTTATGCTTAGAGCCTGTTAGATCTCACAGTTCTTCTCAGTGGGGCCTTCGACTTTACCATCTAAGTTGACTGGATTGTATAAAGAAAATGGTCTTCTGTAAAAATTACCTTCTCCTTCTTGCTGATTTTCAGCTCATTCCCACTTCAGCAGGAATTAAACCAAGATATACAGCGAGATGTTCAGATACGTACTATGCAATGCATCTTATAGGAATTGCTGGTGTATTGACACATGTGCACATTTCACCTGGTGGATTTTCAAGATAATCCTCTGGTTGGCATTTCAGGACGTATAAGATCTGTTGGTTCCCTCTTCCAAGGAATGAGAGAGATGTCCATCTTCAAACAAAGAGGGTTCACCTCGGTCCTCCCCCCCCCAAACTTCTGTGGCCATACCTGCATCTCTTATTACTGCAACATGAACAGAAGAAAGGTGGGGAGAAACTGTGGATCCAAAGGATCTTTGCTCTGGATATAAATGTAAATCAGTTAGTAATCTCTGCCAGCCCTGGAACATTTGTAGTTGAATCCTCCCAGACTGGTTTAAGTGAGAGGAGTCCCTCAATATACAATTTGATGGAAGTTCAGAGTGTGAAGGAAGGCCCATTAGAACATACCTCTCATGTGTGGAAATGATACCACACTTTTTCCTGTGAGTTGTTTGAGAGGAGACAGCTTATATTTAAGGAGTATTCAATCCTTCCCAAGGATGCCCAATTTTCCAATGTTCTTGCTCATGTGTAGAGCTTACACACAAACAGGAACATATCTGCAAACTTTTTGTGCAGAAAACAACAGGGATGAAAGGGATTAGCAACTCCCCTCTCAATTTAGGACACGTCTCGTACGAAACAACTGAATCCCCTTTAGAGGATGATCTCTGCCATCTTATAGAATATGGTTGCTGTATGAATATATCAAGACAAGTAGAATACTCCAGGGAGTTTAAGCATCAAAGAAAAAAAAAAACATTATCAGCAATGTACCCTCTAATTTTCCGCCCCGCTGGGCGGGGCTCTGCCTCTGTTCTGAGTGACTTGTCACCTGTGTATGCATGTGACTCTGCCCTCCCTGCGTGTGGGGTTCCATTGCAACCAGAACCAAAGAGGCTGCGCAGAGGAGGAGGAAAGCTGTCTGGTGAGAGGCCGAGTTGTGCATGCAGCCATGAGCCTTAGAGGAATTCTTGATGGAAAGCAGTGTGGTGAGAGGCCGAGTTGTGCACGCAGCCATGAGCCTTAGAGGAATTCTTGATTAGCAGTCTTTCCCCCCTTTTCTCCCTCTTTCTCTCCAATGTATCTTGCTATGCTGAAGTGGCCCGTATTGAACATGTTGTCCTAAAACAACTGTACAGCTATTTAGTGTAGAAAATCATGAAGTACAAATTGTTCAGATTTTTTTTTATGAAACTGTTGACATTCCTTTGGTACTTTGCTTCCTTTAAAGCTGAATAGTGTTATGTTAAATAAAGTATATTGAAAGAGGCATTGTTGCTGCTTTCATCAATTCAATTGTGTATTTGGAACTTGAGGCTGTGATTACACCAGACCTTTTGGTGCAGTATAAATAGGGTTGCCTGAGGTCAGAGGGAGGAATTATATGCCATTTGGTGCGATCCTTGCATCCAAATAGCATACCGATCTCAAGCAATCCTATTTAGTCCAGCTACCTCTCTGTGGAGGGACAGGGGAAGTGAAATTATCTTTTGCCTCTGCTAGAAAATTGTTGATGCCCTGAATCAGTAAGATTACATATTAAAAATATTATTTGCCTTTGTTTCAAGTGCTGATTGAAATCACAGCTGCATACAGTTTTTTGATTGGCATAACGCGCAAGGCAAAAAAAAATCTAAAAACATTTAACCTGAGTGATTCAGTGCATAAGCATGGTCTAGCACTTTCATTTTAAAACATTTTATTAGTTTTTCAATCTATCTAGATTCAATTCATGCTTGTTAAACATCGTGTTAGATGGGTTGCTTATAATTATTTGGTTTTTGCGTCTTGGTGTCTTCTTAGTTGTACCTTCAAAATCTATACATTTTTAAAATGTTTAAACCATTCATGCATGGTTTTTCCAGTAGTGATGTATGGAATTAAGAGCTGGACCATAAAGAAAGCTGACTGCTGAATAATTGATGCCTTTGAACTATGGTGCTGGAGGAGACTCTTGAGAGTCCCCTGGACTGCAAGGAGAACAAACCTATCCATTCTGAAGGAAATCAACCCTGAGTGCTCACTGGAAGGACAGATTCTGAAGATTAGGCTCCAATACTTTGGCCATCTCATGAGAAGAGAAATCTGCCTGGAAAAGACCCTGATGTTAGGAAAGTGTGAAGGCAAGAGGAGCAGGGGATGACAGAGTACAAGATGATTGGACAGTGTCATCAAAGCGACCAACATGAATTTGACCCAACTCCAGGAGGCAGTGGAAGACAGGAGGGCCTGGTGTGCTCTGGTCCATGGGGTCACGAAGAGCCGGACACGACTTAACGACTAAACAACAACAACATTGGCTACTATCACGATATTGCTCTAATAGTATACAATGTTCTCAAAATCCTCTAATCACATACCTAATAAAAGTAATTCCAGTTCCAAATTTATATTATTTTGAGGTGATTTTACTGACGAACTTTGTATTTTATACCAGTAATAACTGAATAGGTTCCTAACACATAAAGCATTTTATACAGTTTTTTAATATGTTTAGCCATTTCTGTCTCCACATTTTCTATCATATCAATATCATATCTAATGTATGTTCATTAGGTACTATTTATTTTACCTCATCCTTATATCTAGCTTCAATTTACCTTAAGAACCACTGTGTTGTGCCTTTACTCTGATTAGAGATCCCTTATTTCAGTTTAATTCCCTTTTCTAATATATAGGATATGCCCCCTTACAATTCTAGAAGTTAGGTATATAGATGCTTTCAACGTTGAAGGCCACCTTAATTTTTTATTATTTTTCATCTTTCTAAGTAACTCTCTTATTTGTCTTTTCCCAATTCTTGTTTCTATCTCTCTAAAAATTCTGCTGTGCCTTGTGCCACCTGAGAACATTTTATACATTTGATCTATATCCAATAGATATTCCAGGCTCTTTTTAATTCAATCTGCTGATTCTCTCCCATTATCTTCCCTTACAACACATAAAACTCTCCTTGGCTCCAGAGTTAGAATTAAATCTCCAGTTCCTCTTTTGACTGACATATATCATCCACCACCCTCTCATTTCCTTGTTCATTATTCCCTGTCTCCTGTTGACTATAGCTCTTCTTCAACCATGAATAATTTTGCCTCTTTGTTGTGGGATTTCACTATTTCTAAAATTGCTTGAATTGTAGATTTTGTTTCCTCCCAAAATTGTCCTTGTTGTGGCATTATGTCCCAGAGGTCAAATGATTGTATTCCAATGAAAGCTGTCCAGTTCCATCAATACTTGCTTCCATAGGTCCACTTTAATGGATTGATCATGGATTAGGGTTGATGGATTAGGGTTAAGCTTGAATCCAGTCTCAGATGTAGAGTTTTCCCTGCCTAAAGGCTCAAGGTCCAGTCATGCTCAGAACCCAGGATACAGTTTAGAAGTTCCACTTTGGCTGGATTGGACTTTCTAGGGTTAATTTATCTGTAGTTCAGTTCCATCCTCAAAAAGAAAGGGAATTCCAACAGCCATAAAGTGTTCACGGTCATTGATTCTAGGCTTTTTGCCAGCACCTTATATAGCTGTTTCAAGTAACATAAATAAGTTTAGCTTCCCAGAGTTGTTGCCAATGATGTTTTCAAGAGAAAGATTCTTAAGTTTATAATGACAAGTACCAAACTTCCTTCCTTGAATTATAATTAAATGCCTAATTAATGTCCAATTTATTTTCCTTGTGTCTCCCTGCATCTCCTCCTCTCTCCAGATTCACTGCTGCTCAATCAGTGGTGGGGGATAGAAGACGCTATTTCTGCTGTAGAGATTGTCTCGTCCAGGGATAGTAAAGCAAGGCAGTTAAAAATGTATCTCACTCAATTGTAATACAATGTTAATTACGCTGATTTATCACTTCTCCATTGGTGGCTGTTGATGACTTCCATGCAAGCTAGTTCAGCTGCTTGTTCCGTCTGCTAGTTGATTGGGGAGTTTCCCAGATCAAACGTGGGTAACCGCCATTTCCCCCGTGATCAACAGGCTTCTCCCCCTTTTTACCACCTCTTTGGGGTGGTTTTAACCCCCGGGGGATCCCAAACAGGTCGAATTCAGCCCAGGGGACAGAGCTCCATCCTCCTGCTGCTGTCTCATTGCAGTGTCAAGCCGGAAGCCAACTGACTCGGTCTAACACTTTCTTAAATTGTACC